TCGCAGGTCTTGCTCCGAAACGGGCCGTGTCGCTGCCCCTGTCCCCTCCTTCAGCAGGTGGCGCAGCAGGGCTGGCTGAGGCCGTTCCCCATTTCAGTTTAAAAAAAGAAAAAAAAACTTTCGAAGTGTTGAACCTGACAGAAAAGAGTACTATAAGGAACTTTTAAAATAATACAGCTATGCTGTAAATGGATTGTTGTTGCTTCTTTTGATGATAATCTGTTTGCCTGGTCTCCTGCGTAAATCGTGTTGTGTTTACTTGTAAACATGCATAGTGGAATGACTGTTTTTAATAAACTCCTTAAAACATTAATACTGTGGTTCACCATTATTTACCCGATTATTTACTGCTAATGAGGGATTATAACAGGAGAGTGTAATTATCCACTCTTCTAATCCCACCCCATCCCCCCCCCCAACATATACATAGGATGCGAGGACTAACTTCTGTGTTTTGAATAACTTGTGCAAACTGCAGAGAGGGTTTCTGGCTCCATACAACTTTCTTTGATACCTGTATAGGTTAAATTCAGTGGCAGTGAAATCTTACAAGAAATACTTTGGGGGAAAAAATCCTACATTTTGTTCCAAGTAAGTTTTGTATTGGCAAATCTTTCTGCCAATATAAGTCTTAGCTTCTTGAAGCATATGTTTGCCATATGCAGTGTGGTTCTCTATGAGAGTATGGCACTTCGCTGTCATATTCTTGGAATTGCTCTTCCCTTACTGGTACTTTTTCTGGTATTTAGTCCAGTAATGATATGCTAGGATTTGCAACTGAAGTGTTAAAAGACAAATGCAGAAAACGTTCTAGTGAGCCAAATGTATTTCAGCCTCCTGCTCGAGCACACTGAGCTCCAGGAATGTTAAAATTCTAACATTAAGCCTGAGATTGCTAATTCAGTACCTTAGTGGAATATATTGAGGTTTTATGGAGTATTTCTAATGCTAGGAGAATTGTATTATGAATTCTAATGTGTGGTAATAAATAAGAGGGCTGATATGTCAGTTTATTTTCAGTACACCATCATACAGTAAGATAATGTATTGAAAGGTGACATGAAGGGCACGGATGTAAATGATATCTAGATAATTTGCTACTGTCTTTGAAAACACAGTGGTGATCACCAGCCCCATCCTTGCAACTCCGATCACAGGCATGATGGAATGTTCCCTTAACGTGGCTTCTCTGACTTTTGCCATAGCACACCTTTCTTAAGGCTAAGACAGGTCACATGATAGTTTCAGTAAACGGAGAAATTATTAACATTTATGGCTGTTACACTAAAAAAGTACAGCATTGTATATTAAAACACTGAGGAGAACATGGCTTTAACTGAATTTTGCAGCATCCTTTTTTCCACCATCATAAAATGGAAAAAAAAAATTGCTTTCCAGTTTTATATGAGTTTTGAGACACTGGTTTAATGTGTGTTTTTCAAGTGTTCTGAAATTTGTGGAAGGTGAATTATACAGAAGGACTAAATTTTTTTTACTTCAGTCTGAAATGTTTCATGTGAACTTGGTGTAAACGTAAGGCCATTACTGATAGCTTTCATAAGCAGAAGAGGTAGATATCCAAGATCCCAACTTCATCACTGAGTAATGTGAATGTGCCCTTTCTTTAGCATAACGCAGGATTTCTCACTTTGTTGCATACACCTTTGGTAACTCTGACTCTTATCTCATACTGATGTGAATGAACAGGCCATGGCATGATATATACAAAAAAGAACAACAAAAGAAACCCCACCACCTTAGCACACATCCAGAGATTTGGTTCTCACAGTTCTGTAACAAATGTGTGTTAAATACCATAGCATCAAGGCATGTTCAACATCCTACAATAGTGCTGTGTGACCTCAGCAGTGTTAGAGTTAACAATCCAAAGTAAATCTAATTCTCTGAAACCAGTGAGGATAATGTTGCCTTCTCCTTACTGAAAAGTGCATCTAGAAAACTTTTCAAAATTGGCTATAAGTTTTTCTCCTAAGATTTGTTTATTGGTTTTACTCGTTTGTTTCAAGTTTCTTATTCTCACCTTCCAGATTTTTTTTATGTCACTGTTCCTCTAGCTGTCCTTCTCACCACCTGCAGTGTTCCATTTCTTTTTAATGTCCTTACCTGAATCTTTCGCTTACTGTGTTCGCAACTACTCCTGTACCGGCCCCTCTTCTTGGAGCTCTTTTTGCCTCAGTATTGCAATCCTATGGGAAAGAAAAGCTCTGAACGCCTGCCATTCCCACTGAAATCATCTATAGATTGCATTAATCATTAGAGCACAGATCTTTGGTACTTTTGTGGCAAGGAGCCTGAGGCATTGGTGCACTCCTCTGTATGCAAGTCTTACTGTGCGCCTCAGGACTTTTCAGTGCTGAACTTGGGGTGGCAGCAGAGGAAGGTAAATATGCATTATTAAAACTTATCTTCCTCTATGCAAGTGGAAGATATATTTGTTCTGAATGTCAGCATCTTGTGTATATACTTTTTTTTTTTTTTAAGACAGAACTCTATGATAAAGTGGTAGCAGGAAATGTAGAAAAACTCCCTTTACCATATGAACCCCAGCTTCAGAGGCCCAAACATGGCCTTTAGGCAAAAGATCTCCAAGGTATCACCTTTTCTCTTTCAGCTGAAAGTGGTGTGTTATTTTCTTTTCATACATTTCTAGATTTGTTGAGGAGACATTCTCCGCTATATGTGGTTTCGGTCTTTGTGGAGAACACTCAAAAAAGAAAAAAAGGAATAATTAAGTAGTGAGCACTTAAGGGGACAGTGTGTCTTAACATTTAGAAATCTCAAAATATCATGACATCTTTAGACATTTCTAAAAATTAAAATCTGTGTCCTTCCATCTCTGGTTTCTGAGATCTGAGGTTGAACTATCTCAACTTTATTCCTACCTACAATGCCTAGAAACAGAAGGGTTGTTTTTAAAGACAGTGGAGATTCCCCAAATTGCACAGTTCTTGGGACAGGACTTGAGAGCAATCCTGAGACTCCTGGGAGAACTGGCGATGCTGCTCTCCTGACATGCAACTAAAATGAGCACAGCAGCATTGCAAGGTTTGCAAATCAGAGTGTGAGAGGCTTCATTTCTAAGAAGAGGACTGAACTTTTGTAAACGTCCTTAAATGTTACAGAATCTCAAGTATTATTACAGAGACAGATGTACTTGTCGTGCAGTTTGAACTAGAAAAACAGAAAACAGGAAGTGATTTCCTTTTTTGCCTTTCTGGGAATAGGTCAGTTTTGTTCCATGATAAATGGAATATGATGGGGATAAAAATGCATTTAATTGGAGAACACTCTTGTGTCTAGAGAGGGCAGAGGAAGAAAAACACTCCAAGATGTGCTTTTCATCCTAAAAGATAGGTTACAACATGATGAAGGCACATTTAGACGCGCTATCTTGATACTCAGAACATAGTCACCATAGTAACAGAATTCATTTATCCGTCTTTCTCTAATCCAAAACTGCTCTGCTGAACAGCATTTTAATACACATCTGCTGTTTTTATTTCACAAACAGGTAGGCAAAACACTACCTTCATTGCCTTTCATACAGATCGGAGAGCACATTATCAAGGCTTTCTTTAATGCTCAGTTGTCTTTGGTATTTTGAACGTTCTCTGTGTTCCGACCTGAAGCAGCTTTTCTTTACAACATACAATATTTTTAAGGTAGACTACAACCAACCACTCCAGTACTCAAATCAGGATGAGTACAGCTAGTTTTCATTATATTAATTCCTCGAAATGTTAGGGGAATAAAAAGACCCTTTTCTTGCAAAGGGTAAATAGACTGTGTCTTTTGATTGGTGTGTGCCGAGTCTAGGACTGAAAGCCAGGAATTCTGGAAGTCATGTTTTAACTTTTACAGAAATCCCCTGTGAAGAAGTTCTGCATATGCTCCCTCAGTAATAGTGAATCAACATAGTAACACGTCAGCTGAGGAGGAAAGGCTAAATGCTAAAATGCTTAGTGAATCAATATAGTAACATGTCAGCTGAGAAGGAAAGGTTAAATGCTGAAATGCTAAGTCCAGGGGTAATGCCATAACTTCTGTTGTCTTTAATAAAACCAGGTTTTCATTCTTTGACTTCTAATTGAAAGAGCCTTTCTTGGTAAGACTGTCTTTCCATGCTACCACAACTTCTTTTGCTAGAAGATAGAATTTAGGAAACAGGAGCTCAGAATGGTTCATGTCGTGCAGAACAGTCTCAGTGTCCATGCGGTGCAGTGTGCTGGAGTTTGCTACCAGACAGGTGCAAGGGGACTGGAAGAATGAGATTCTCCAAGTGCATAAGGACCTTCTTCCACAACTTAAGGTGCGATGCAGGCAAACAATACTGGGTTTGGTTTCACAGAAAATGAAGGCACAAAGAAAGAAAATACAGCTTAGATAAGTCCTGTGCACAAAGGAATTTTTGAAGTAAATCACTATCTTGGTGCACTATGTTTAACAACAGGGAACTTCAGGATACAAAAGGACAGCTGTGGAAAGAAACCCTCCTTTGCATTAACAAATGTGTATTCAGGAATCAGAACTGACTTAATGTTTCTCAGGCTTTCTTTAAAAAAAATAGTTCCCCTTCTCCTCACAAAGAAACAGAATCTATCCACCTGGAGAGAGGCTTTCATGGAGATGAAGAGCGCTTCTGCATCCCTCCCTTTTATTGTTACTGAAGAAAGCAACCAGAAAAATCAGTCTCAGCACTCTTCACTACCTTTGCCTGGTTTAGCAGCTTAAAAACGGACATGAAAAAGATCGCTCTTGGCAGTTTCCTGCTGTTTCCACTCTTCTGGCCTCCACAGCGCTGAGGGGAAGAATCAATTTGCTCATGAGTGAAAGCATCTACGTTTGGAGTGCTACAGCCTTCTACAAGACGTGTTTTGTTTTCCTAAACTGTCCTGGAATTGCACATTACTGAAAATTGCGCTAATTAACCTTATGGTCCCAGTCTCAATAGTTAAAGACATCCTTATATCTCATTTGGAAATCCTGCTAATATCCTCACTCTGGCACAGAGGAAGTAACTTCAAGCAAAATAAAAGGCAGTCTTTTGAAGAGGAAAGAATGTTTTAAAATTTGAAAGCAATGACTTCAACTCTTAGTTTTTGGGAGTTCTCTAGAGCCAAAAAAAGAAGAAACCCCAAAGCACTGATTATCACATATGGCATTCTATGTAGGTTAAAGCCTGATACAGAGTAACGTCTATCAAACTACATTAGAAAGCAAGGTGGGTATTTTTGTTTTTTTAAGTTTACAGTCTTTATCAGTGGAAGGTCAGGTGACATGAATTACAGGAGCTACCTGAGTTCTGTAGGTCATGTAATGGCCTCCAGAACTGGTCACCTTCACAGCAACTTATGTGACAACCTTGCTAGGTTTACCATATATAGGTATATTTACAAGTATATTAAAAAACAGAACAAATTGATTCATTAAACGACTGCTGCTTAATAACAGATCTGTTACCTGCTTTGGGAGTTTCTAGAAAACGAATGATTTTCTCTGCAAGTTTATCCCATTGTGCAAAAAAAACATTCTTGCCGAGTAGCGAGCCAATACAGCATCATTTGGTGCTGAAGCACTGTATGTTTTATTTTTTACCTGAAGTTTTTTGAATATAACAATATATTTGGAGAATATCTGCACACAGTAAATGAACATCGTCTCCCTACCACCTCCTCCAACTATTAACATAGACTTGTTCTCCTTTTTAAAAGATTTCTTCCTTTTGTTTAATATAAGCTCTATTCTCTATTTTTCTCCCCTAAGAACCAGAATAATGAGTTTTGTCCTTCCTTCCTCTAAGCATATTCTTCAGTGGTTAAGATCTATCCTTTATATTTCTTTGCACAGACCAAATTGCCCCAGGCTTTCCTTTCTTCTCTTTCCACAGCTTTGCTTCATACTTCACCTCCTCTCACCAAAAATCAGGAGAGAAGAAACACCACCTGTGGTGGTTAAAAAATAACCATCATAACAAAAAAAAAGTTTTGCTCATCTTCAGTGTAATGACAAAGGAGAAAACAAGTCTTGATAATTGAGGTTTTCTTCACATTGGCCACTGGAGAGCATTTTGCCCAGTAGAAATCATTTGAGCACAAGGCAACAAACAGCACTAACGACTCCGACAAAGTTTAACACTGCCGTGGATTAAGTTAAAAAACAAACTTCACAAGTCAAATACTCCATATTGCATTAAGAGTCTCCTGAATTACTTTTCACTGATGACAGTTCTATTAGAAAGGCTGTATTACGAATTTTGCACAGATTATTCTTTCTATGCATTAAGATGTGCTTTTGTGCATTTTTTCCACTTCCCTTAAAAATTCACATGGATAAACTGTTGAAAGAGAGACTAAAATAAAATACTCCCAGGTATTGCATTCCAAAATAATTCTTAAGGTATAGGGAAAAAATTGCTTTACAGATACAATAAGACTAAATTCTATGTAGATCTATGGAATTTCACTCTTTGAATTTAGCATGGCATTTCATTCAACTTGAGAGTTGGAAGGGAGAAAACTAAGAGTAAGATTGTTTTCCTCAAAGGGAGTTTAGATTTGTGCGTCCATTTATCCACATTCATCAGTCCCAGAGACTTTGACCTGTATCTAATAGTAACAGTGCAAGAAATATTTAATTTAAGCAGAACTCCTAAGGAAATTGTAACCTAGCTTGCTTTTGAGTTTTTTTTTTTTTTTTAAATAGAATCCGTTCTTTCATTAATTTTGGAAAAACAAAACACTCCATTGAAATCATTACCAACGCCTGTCAAAAGTATCTGCTACAGTACTTCTATACCTCTGCCGTAGAAATAAGACTTTTTCCAGGCCTATTCTTTCTATCTGATTTCAGGCAAGCTAAGAAGCAGGACAACTGGGATTCCCACCACCCATCTGGACCCATTGAAGACTGGTCCTTGGACTAGCCCTTGGACTAGCATAAGATCACTGAAACCAAAGAGAAAATGAGAAAATAAGCATCGTTTACACAGTAATTTAGAAGCTTTTCTTTTTTAAACTACATTTTTATTACAATGTTTGTTTTGAATGCCTTGTAGAAATCCATCACCCTTGGAGTCATCAGAAGCTGCTGACTTTCTTCAGTCATGTCAAAGGAGGAACAGATACACCTCCAAATTCTGCCTCAGGAGTATCTTTTCTCACTTTTAACAGTAACTAGTTGGATTTGGTAAATAACTGTGAACTTGGCAAGATTTTTCACCTAGTCCTTTTGAAAATATGCCTTAAAGGAAACTACTTTGATAAACAGGCAATAAACTACAGGTAAAGGTCTGGCATGCACCAAAGGGCTACATTACAGGAGATGTTACTCGATTGTGCTCTTAATAAACTACCCAGTGAGACAACAATGAACGCAGATGAGGAAGACTACTTGCAACTGAACGAGGATTAAAATGTCAGGGTTACAATAGTTTTAACGTCATCTAACAGACTGATACAGTTTAAAATTCACACTCAGTATACACAAGACAATATGCCTGTGATGACACAGGGAGGTAAGCGGTAGGACACTGCCTGAACACTCATGAAAAGGCTGGTGTGCTGATACCAGGTATAGTGTGATTCTGCTTCACACAGGAATTAGGCACCAGATTTGGAAGTCTTACATTCAGCTCGTACACTGGGTAATCTAGTCTGTGAGATGAGTAGTATTTATATGACTGGTATTTATATCTGTGAAGGTAAAAGGAAAGCCTCCTACCACACCTCCCTCCCCCGGACAATAGCGAACAATAGCATTAGCAAACCTTACATTTTGGGGTCCATTATCAGCTTCCTCACTCAGCAGGCCAGTACAAGGCTACCAGCATTTTTGACCCATTGCTTTCATTTGCTAGCTTTCCCCTAAGAAAACAAGCAGAGTGCAACAGTAGGTAAAAGTCTATTTCAAGGGTGACCCGTCGGTTATTCATAATACACCATTACATATCCCACTTGGGACATCGTATATGCCTTTTATCACACAATCAAAGTGTGATAAAAAGTGCCCTTGGCTCATAAACGCCTTTTCATTGGGGTCAGGATTGGTTCTGTCTCCAATCCAGCTTTTACTTAACTACAAGAATATATGTGTTTTTAAAAAGTAAATGGTATTTCAGAAATTTTCTCAGTTTTTGTGATACACATGAAGATTTGGCTATCCTTGGCTTTGCTGAAGTTAAAAATTAGCATGTTTTAAATTAAAAAAAACAAGGTTTAGATGTTTGGCAGATATGTCGCAACTGTAATAATGTGCAAAAACGCAACTTTTGTTTTTAACACTGGTATGAGAAATGGGCTTAATGGAAAAAGTTGTCCATCTTAACGTTAACGAAACGTGCAGAGGCTTGCTATGTCCATTTCTATGAGGTTAGGACCTATCCAATTTGCATCTGTTTTGAGCTCCCTAGAGCCTTTCCTATTAAGTTGCTATGATACCCACTCCATTTTAATGGACCATGAAGCTTCCCAGCAAGCCAGCTGCCAAATTTTCATATTTCAGCTGTACAAAAAGTGTTCCCAAAGCCTTAAGTACCATTTGAAGGTGAATCAGGCATGTATTATTGTAGGCTTTTCACAAATAAAATAAGAATCAATGTATATATATTATTTTCATGAAAACATATTAATAAGGAACACTTGAATATATGTTTGTTTGGTTGTTTTTTTTTTTTTTGAATTAGCCTGAAAAATTAGCCTGTAACAAATTTCAGCATTACAAAGATCCATGGGATCACATATATAATAGAAGGTGACATTCCTCTGTCACTTACAGCTCCTGCTCTAACTAAGAATCCACCTTAGGAAAGATACTGACTTTGTTTCTGCTGATTTTTCTTTCTGCTTTACACTTGGGCTGCTTTGTCTGGATTAGCTCTTCAGGGGTATTTCCCAAAGGGGGCAGGAGTCGCTTCTTACTGTTACGGTTTTCTGAGAGCCACTGTGGAGGCAACTCAAAGGGTCCAAAACCAAATTGCATGGAATACTTGTCATTTGCCATATCAGCTTCTGTGGGCACAGCAGGGGCCACCTGAGCTGCAGAGTCTGCAACTGTGTGGGGTATAAATTTGTGAACTAAAGTCTGTTCTACCTCTAAACTGGTTGTAGGAATTTCCTTCTGCTGAAAGTCACCAGAGACAATGGATTTGGTTTCATTCTCCTCATCCTCGGTCGGCTTGAAGATCTGTTGTTGCCCGATATGAAACATCTCCAGAAGCTGGCTCCCCGAACGGACATTGGGCTCCAGATTAGCATCTGCAACACCACCAGAGCTGACAATGTTTCTCCTGCTATACCTTCGGTGCAACTGTACTATGGTCCCCACTAAGCACTTCCGTACAGATTTGTTGACAGTTAAAAATAACAAAGGATTGGCTAGCAAAGAGACCTTGGGCAACCAAATGGCAGTGAGGAGCAAGAAGACTGAAATATCTGAAATGTTGAGCATGGTGCGGTAAATCACCAGAGTCACATAGGGGATACTGCAGAAAATAAATATCATCACCATAGAAAGTAGCATAGCATGAAGTTCAGCTTCTCGCTGCGAGGCATAAGGGATAGATATTGTGTTCTGAGGGGTCCTTAAGGCAGCTATGATGACTTTTTTCTTCTGGCTGGCACTCAGTGCCCTGCGGATGAGAATCATAAAGAGAAATACCACAGCCACTGGTACAATCACAGTGGTGATGTTATAGATGATGACATACACCAGGTGACCAAGGGAATAACTCCAGGATTCAGAACAGGTGGACATGGCATAAATATCAGACACATTGGTCACAGCAAATACTGGGATACTGGCCACTATCGCATGGGCCCAGATGTAGATAACCAGGTCTCGGGATTTTGCATCAGATATTTTTCTTTCCAGGGGGTATAAAACAGAGTAGTACTTTTCAAAAAAAAAAAAAAAAAAAAAAAAAAAAAAAAAAACAGAAACGAAAATAAACCAAACTACAACTGATACAATGAAAAAGTTATAGTTTAAAGTGGGCACAGTGCCCAAACTCCCTAACCGGGCTGCCAACTGAGTAGCTGCTTACAAGAGAGCAGAAACAAGCGCCCAGCTTTGCAGGTCTGTTTGTAGAAAAAAATAAAATAAAATCCACATTCCAGAAGCACATTAATGGTGAACAGCTCTTTCAGTAATTGGGACTATATTGCTTTGTCTGATGCAAGTGAACATTATCTTGAAAATTTCATTATTTTCTTACTTATACACAGCACAAATTCACAAACCATGACAGGGGCATGATTAAGTCACATTGAAAGGCCAGACTTGTAGTTAAATGGTTCTATAATGGATTTTCTCTAATATTTAGAAAAAAAAAATGTTGGTCAAAAGTCACATGTACCTGTCTACTGGAAGTCCAACAGAGTTTTGTTTTTCCCAAGCTTTGGTGGACAGAGCCCTGAGCAAAAGGATAGTTGGACACTGTAAAATGTGTGCATTAAAAAAAAAATTGTGCATCTTCGACATGATCAAATTTCAGGCAATGGTTTGTTGTTTGTTTTTGCTTATTACTGTAGATTTTTAAGCTCGCAGACCCTTCATGAGAGACCTATCTAAGCAATAGCTGCTTGTACTTTTAATAATGACGATCACAAGTTTTGCTGGTGAAGGACAAGTGATATGCTATCTCAGTGGCAACACTGGTGTGCATTATAGATAGCAATACTGCAATTATCAAGACGCTAACATTCGAGTAAGAGGAATATCACTTTATTAGCTACAATTTGCTTTTCTTTTGCAGAGCTAATATATTCTCCGGTGAGACACATGACCAGACTATTAACAATAATTTTATCTAACATACATAAATCCAACTGTATTAAACTGTAACCAGTATCTGCCCTTAAAAATACTTAAATTGCAGTCACTGTCAAGATAATAAGAGTTGTGCTTTTAGGTGAGATCATTGACTGCAAATCTAAGCATAAGCTAAGTTAATGGAATCCGGAAACTTATTTAGTCCAAAGGGCCACTTTTGTTTTAGACTGATTTTCTACAATCAAAACTTACCTGAATTAATTCGGGTTGTATTAACACTATATATATATTTTTTTTTTATTTTTATTTTTTAAATCCAGTCTAGATTTGAAAACTACCAGAGGGAGACAGTCTACCCCAGGCAAATCCTTCCAACGAGCAATGGCGTTCAACTTTCACAGTTAAAGATGTGCACCTTGTCTCTAGTCTGAAGTTGTCTAGCTTCAAGTTCCATTACTGAACAACGATTAATGGCAGGAAGAAAGAAAGGATAAAAAAAACTTTTCTGAAGATAAATCTACAGACTCCCTTAGAAAAGTCCAGCAATATCAGAGTGAACTGAAAAATAAAGGTATTCAACAATCAAGGAATATAATGCTGGTAAAATTGATCTCTTACCTGTCTAGAGCGATGGCCGGAAAACTAAGAATGGTTACAGAGCAGAAGACTTTGTGCAAAAACTTGGCAATTTTGCAGAACAGCATCGTATAGATCCACCAGCAGCACTGTGGACTGGCAGTAAGAACAATGTCAAAAGGCACACAGACTAGGCTGGCACAGATCCCAGAGCAGGCCAAATTCTTAATGAATCGGTTTGTTACAGATTTAAGTACTGACGTTCTGCAAGTTGACCATAGCACCATGATGTTACCTGAGAGTGGAGACAAGAAGGATAACAAAGCAAGGGAAAAAAAAAAAAAAGAGAGACAAAAGAAGAAAAAAAAATCAAACAGTTTTTGAATGTTTGCTAATAATAAAAAATTAAAAAAGCATTTGTTTGGAGTTTGTCACGGTCACTGATTCGAACCACCATACCGGTCAGACTAAAAAGTGTGTGGAATGGCTACAGACTTCATAAACCAGATGACTGAAAAACAGTTATTCACCGGCTGTCTCCTCCCACCATCTAGTAATGACTGAATTAGGGACTTCCAGAAACGGCTTAAGTAGACTATCTAAACTATGCGTTTAGATGCTTACATTGAATCACGTGTGAAATGAGCCATCCTGAGCCAAAGTACTCATATTTGAATGCCTAGTGCATAATTTATCTATCTATTTATGAAAATTGTCCACTGTAAATAAATGTAAAGCTTCCTGGCAGGACCAGTTTGAATTTGTCTGTCTCTGTGCATCAGTGGATCACGGCAAACCTGTTTTTACTTCCATTTGCCACCTCAATGGCAGAAGTAAGCCTCTGTGAAGCCACGATCAGAAAAAAAAAATGCCTTTTTCCCCCCCCCAGTTCAAGAGATTGTATTATATACATAATAACATGTAATTAAATAAATAGAAGAAGAAAAACCTTTCTGCAATAACTTCACTAAAGAACACACAGAATGCACATATTTCAGTTTTCAACAGCAAACGGATGCCTGGGGAACGGAAGCACAGAGAGAAACCAGCATTAACTAAGACAGTATTTTTCAGTTATCATTGTATCCTACTCTATCCAGATCTCAGGAAAAAAATCTCACATCAAAGAAACACACAGCCCTCCCCTAAATTTCCCTGTGATTCTAAGTCACACAGCAGCAGCACAAAATTAAATGAAGCAGTATGTTCTTACTGCGTGCAGCTCTGGGTCCCTTCTACTGCATGCCAAGATGTCAAAAAAACAGCTTCAAAATATAGGATTTTATCTATCCTTTAAAATCTGTCTTTAGCAACCTGATTGCTTGAAAAGAAAGAGAAAAAAGGCTTAACAGAACTGCAAAAATAAAGTCTTACTCTGAATTCCATACAGTACCAGCAACTCTTAAAGCTTTTGCCACTTCAAATAAATACAAGCTAAAGACAATCCTATTGGTGAAGGAAATGCAGAAAACCCCTCTATGGTCACAGAAGTGCTTCCTTGGCCAAAGTGCATTTCATACACACATGAGGGTGCCCTACAGACAGGGGGGGCCGGGCAGGACAGCCAGCAACTGAAATTACCGACGTGTCCTTAGCCACTTGCTGCAAACTGCTGTCAGTGCTCCCAGCTCCAGGGACCTGATGTAGGTAGAACTACTCCGCACGTGTTGGCTCAGCGAGAGGTGGCTCTTCTCTGCCTCAGCCTGCTCAAACTAAGTCCCGTTCCCCTGTGCCCACACAGGCATTGGGGAGGCATGTTACGGTGGGGAGAAACAGTGGGAAGTGGACAGCCCTTTCTGCCTTTCCTGCCCTCGGTCCTCTTGGTCCTGGTTTTTCCCCTCCAAGGCAGGCGATATGCAAGAGGCAGCCAACTCGTACGCTTGGCAGACACTGTGGCAGGAGGACAGCGCACCGTTTAGTTCTCTTAGCCTGATTTTTCTACAATACCCAAGCTCATAAAGATTTATTACTCCTGACTGCTAAGGAGGCAGGAGGATCTCTGCGGCACAGCTGATCAGAGCACACAAATTCTAGATGACCTAATCCAGAATGCGCATGCGTATGCCCACAAGACGCTCACACGCGTGCACGTACATGTCAGTTTGCTCAGTCTCCAACACTTAGAACTTGAGCTACTTAAGGCTGTCTTCAGAGAGAGCATTTGAAAGCTCACTGACAGAAACTGGAACGCAGCAGATGAACATGGAAGGTGACTACAATGAGTTGGAAGCACACATTTTTAAAGCGCGCAGCTCATACGCTTCTCAGCGCATTGTCCAACTGAAACTGAAAACTGCCTAATAGTTCAGCTAAATATTTCTCATATAAACATAAAAGCAGCACAGAAACCTTCCAGATTTTCTCAGGGGTTTCACAAGCATTTCTTTATAAACTTAAAAGGCAGCTAGCTGAGTTATTTCCAGAAAGCAGCACTCTCCCTTTTAGGGAACAATCTGATAAAGAAATGAAAGCAACACGCTTTTTAAACAACTTCCCCCGGAAACTATTCAAAGCCTTTTTAATAGAGAAAAATCCTAAGCGCAGCACGTATCTCTTGACAATACTGTCCCCTAGATAATCAATTCTAATGTGGTTTATTCAGTATCTCTCTCTCTATACGGCACTAAGCAACAGACAGTAGTTAAATCATTCAACCAGACAGCAGATCGAAACAAAAATAAAATGTAATAGTTCAGTGTGCCAGACTGATTAATGTTCAAATTTTCATACTGAAGAAATATTGCAATCACTCTTTGTTACTCAGTTCATTGTGCACCAGGCAAAAACTGCTCTCAGTGATACGTATTATTTACTGGACAGACTTAATTAAGATCAACAAGAATTCTCAGCACTAGCCAAACTATGCAACTGTGCTCAGTGCCTATAGCTTGTGTGTGAGCAAGTTGCTTTCCACTAGCACTAACTAAATGGTAAAGGCCAATGTCAGCCTGACAGAATATGATTCTCCTTAATCTTGTTTCTCCTGGCGACATAACGAGCAGTAGCACCAGATCAACCAAAGCATAGCTACAAGCATAAAAATACTGCTTGGCAAGGCAATCCCATTTACTCTAACCATTTACTCTAACATAGCTGGACAGCATGCAAAGTAAAGTGCAGCTTTCTAGCTCCAAGAAAAGTGAAATTGTCCTTATTGTAAAGGATATCACCAACTGCGTACTATTGATACTATATATTGTTGATACTTACCAGAAGCTCTTTGTAGTTGAACTGTAATTGATGTAAGCCGATCAGATTTGTTAGTGCTTTTTTTAAATAACATACACAATGAGAGAAAACAGCATCTTGAGCTTGTGATCGTTATATGAAAAAGCGGCTACAGCCCCCCCCAGTTCTCTCTGTTGACACTGCCATTCTTCAGCTTGCTTTTTCTCTAACCAATAAAAAACTCCAAGATTTTATTTGCTGATCAGAGATTTTCCGTTGTTGCCCAGATAACTGAAATGCCAGCAAGAATATATGCTTGTTCATGAGACCAACATGTACACAAAAGGATGGGTACATAACAAGAAATAGCAGAAAGTCAAGTTTAGCTTCTTGATAAAACGGTCTCTTTCATGCATCATTTCAGTAAGACCATGCAGTATTAACTGTAAAAACTACCTCACATATACACTATGTAGGACTGCATTACTTAAAAGTAATTCAGAATTTAACTTTATTTAAATTGCGTAATGTCTCTTACTATGCACGTTCCTTTTTGGTAGCTGACAAAATGTTGAGTTAAGTATTTACTATGTGATGTATTTTAAAGAATGGAATCATCATCTAGCTTTGGCAGGTGCTTTGGGCTTGACAATATATTCCACAAGCAGTATTTAATCAGATGTATTTAAAGCTTCTTAAATTGCTAAGAGATATTCAGTCAGTCAAACCACTTGCTTTAGAAAACCTCTCTAACCCTCCAGTTATTAAAGAAGTCCTTCTCATATGGTAATAATATAGTATTACGATGCTCTGGAGTACGGAAGAAGCTGATGATTTTGTTTTTAAATTTAAATCTTTTACGTAGTTTGAATTGCACTGATTTTGTAACGTTACTTCTAAAGCAGGTTTCACCTCCATCAGATTGAATAAGAATGGAAAAAATAAAAGGAATCAGAGAGTTTTTCAATAATACTTTAGATGTTGCTAGAGAACTAGTAGGCTACTTTTTAGGATCTTACAGAGAAGCTTGATTCAAGACTCAAGTTTTACAACTGTGAAATCACTTCTACAAATCATGTCATATTGTCATCTATACGAGGGAGTGCCAGAAGAAAATGAAATTAACTCTGCTCCTGGCTGATCCTGGATGGAAGTGGAAAGCATAAAGCAGAAGAGATGCTGGTTCTAAGATGAAGAAAAGCTCTTCAAACAGACAAAACAAAGTTGGAGCCTCAAAGGGGAAAAAAGATAGGCAGGAAGAAGCTGCATTTTATCAAAGCTTGGGACACTGGAAAGTTGATGAGTGAATACTGTTCAGGGAAACATGTATTTTCTTCCACCTGCAACTACAACGTGTATATAACCAAACCATTCTGATGAACCAGATCAGTTTCAGCACAGACTGTGGCTCTTTCTGCTGATGCCTTCAAATCACATGTTCCCCTTCATGCATCTCAAAGCCATCCACTCAGAGCAAGAGTGCACCAGAAACTCCATACACCATCAAGTATAAAGAAGCTAAAGAACAAACTTCATGCATTTTCTATTTCATCGCTCCTCACCTTTCACCAGCTACTTATTTCCATGGGAGAGGATAACAACATTCCAGGCAACAAGGTAATTCAACAAGCATTAAAGCAATTGTGCTCTCAATCTTTTCACAATGTGTAGAACCACTTTTCTGTTCTATATGTATTACTCATTCACTGTTGAACCTATGAAAGGCACCAGTCTACTACCAATATTCTGCTTGGGTTATGACTGTTCTAGGCTGTTTTACGTCCTCACAGCAGGTAACGCTGTCGTCTTCTATCATAGGCGGAGATGTTTCGGTTGGATAGCTAGCCTAGGGCTACATGACCTTGGATTCAGACTTCATAGATTACACAAGATTGTACAGGTTAGCTAGGAGGGGGGAAGTTAGAGTGATATGTTGCTGACAACGCAGCATCTCAGCATCTCCTGCAAGCCAATACTGCCCAGCATATGAGCATCCCTTATAAAAGATTATATGTGATAAAGCGTATCCCATACTGGTTGCACAGCTTGCAGACATCTGAAAGATAAAATGTTTTTTTATTTTAAAAGTGTATCTTTGCTCTTCTCAGAGAATGACCTATGTCCACA